ATCGTAATTATATTATATCGTAAAAAAATTTTATATTTTACTATTAAGTCAGTATAGTTGCATTAGGTGAAGGTTGGCATAATTATCATCACGTATTTCTGTGGGATTATAAAATTTCAGAATTGATCAACTACAATCGTCTGAACTTGACGATTTTAGTAGTGTAAAAATATAGAAATTGATGGTGACTCCTTCGAAGATTAAAATTAATTTAATTTAAGTTAATTTTTCTTAGTTTTATACGCCTTTATATATAGAAGCAAACAAAGTGCATTATAGGCATTTAATGCTTTTCTTTTACCGAAAAGCCAAAAATGTCACATAAACGTCAAACAAAATATGCGCTAATTTTGGCGAAGGTACTATGCGGAAAGAACTGTGGCGAAGTGGTTTGCTAAGTATAAAGCTGGTTTGTCAAGTTTAAAGATTTCAACGTTGAAGATCAAGAACATCAGAGTTAGGTCCTCTACTACAGATAAAGATCAGATTAAAACATTGGTCGAAAATAACCTACACTATACGACATGTAAATTAACAGAAATGTTAAAATATCAAAATTCACCATATGTGACCATTTTGTAAAGCTTGGCTATATAAACCGTTTTAATATATGGATTCCTCACGATTTAACGGAGAAAAATCTGATGGATCGCATTTCCATTTGCGACTCGCTCTATAAACGCAACGAGGACACACCATTTTTGAAGCAAATAGTGACGAGGGATGAAAAATGGATCATTTATAATAATGTTAATCTAAAAAGGTCTCGAGGAAAGCGGAATGAACCATCTTCAGCAACACCAAAAGCTGATCTTCATCAGAAGAAGGTCATGCTTTGTTTATAATGCTATTGCAAAGAAATCCTGCATTATGAGCTTTTATCAAACAACGAAACGATTAATTCAGAAAAATCTTTCTTCAATTAAACGATTTAAAGATAGTAATTGAACAAAAACGTCCAGAAATAACGAAAAGTTTTTCGCAGTAAAACCTGAAAAGTTTTGGAAGGACTGAATTTTCAAGTTGTCTGAAAGATGGAGAAAGATTGTGAAACAGAATGGCACCTACATAATTTAATAAATGTATACCAAAATGTAAATATGCTACGTTTCAATTTTCCTTCAAATTCGTCACGAACTTTCCGGACAATCCAATAGATTTCTACCTACTTTTAAGTTTTTTGTCTAAACAAGTGTTAATTATCGCAGAAAATAGAAATTGAATAAATAAATTTTTCTAACTTTCTTTTTAAAAATATATTTTTCTTGAGATATTTAATCTGTCAATTTAAAAAAATTTACTCACGTGTATGTAATATACAATATAATATAAGTATATAAAATTACTTATATATAAAGCAATTGTAAATTTGTTGGCGAAGATATATGAACATAACGGACATTTATTCGAAATCGATTTTTTATTTTAAAAAATAATGACCATTTGTGTCTACTTTTTGAATTAGGTTCTTTCCATCAAAGAAGATCTATTAGGAAATAAATGTGAGGAAACGATTAAAAAACCGATGTGTAAATCTTTAAATGAGACGAATAAAAACATATGATGAAAAAAAAAGGATACGCGAATGGCGAAGTCATTAAAGCACTTATAAATTAATGTTAAAATAGCTTGACAATGAAAGTTGTATTTATCCGTCATAAAAAAACATTTAACAACTACTACCAAAGTAGGATATTTTTGTACAGATCATTAAAATAATTAGATATGAAACACTTAGACATTGATAAAGTATCCATATCAATATATAAAAGTAAGATAACTCATTAAAATGAACGGACTTTAGGCTCTTAGATTTTAATTACATATATAAATTTTCACTAATCTCAATTTTTATTTTAGATAATTATGTACTATTGGTGAAAATCTTTTATCTTTTTGTTCTCAGATATTTTCTTATTTCAATATTTTAAGTATTTTAATATCTTCAAAATCGACTAATCCTTTAACTAATTAGATTTGTTCATAAATTTATAATATCACTATTATATCGTAAAACATTTCATTTCATGGTTTAAAAATCTTGATAAGTTATGATATAATTCTTTTTTTAGATTATTTATCTTCATGGCAAAAAACTTATTTGAAATTTCGACGACTTTTTTCCTGGAAAAATCTCAACAGGATCTCTTTCAGGAAAAGTCAATAACTAACTAAACGAGCTCGCCAAAATTGGGCAAGTTAAAATCGAAATTATACACGTCATTATTCCGTAAGTCATTTAATTTCGACTTTTTTCCATTTACATGTTTCGCTATGCGACATTCCATTACCTTTTTCATGTATTGACGAATATAATAAATAATAAGAAATGTTCCCAATAATTTCCACGAAAAACGATCGATTATACTACGATTGCTGTACTACGATTGATATAAGCGATGTTAAAAAAAATCCAGTGATCGTTTGGCAACGAAGATAGGTATTAATCATCAAATATCTTCGAATTTTTTTATTTTTACTAGGATATTGATATATATTTTTGCTTTAATTTTTATAAATTTTGTATCATTCTTATGCCATTCTTCTGTTTCATCATTCCCACGTGGATACTATGCTTTTTCTAGGAAGAACGTCTAATGTTCGTTTGGTATATCACCAGATATATTATACTACATCCTTTAACATTTCTTAGCTAGTGGATTCTCTTGCTCGTATTTGGGGTATAAAATCGTATGAGGGGTATGTACATATTTTCTTTTCTGTTGCAATCCTAGTTTGATCATTTGAATTTCAGTAATATATCGTATGGAATTATCGTATTGCGTAGAAAGATTCTTAAAAAAATAATACTTATCATTATTTTCTTTTTACTTTTCTATTTCTTCAACCGACAATTATTCAGTCGATATAGCAGCATTTGGTGAGGGTTGGCACAATTATCATTATGTATCTCATTCCGTGGGATTACACAGCTGCAAAGTTCGGTAATTACAGAGTGAACTTCACAAGGACAGTGATCAACAGCTTCGCGAAACTTGATTGGGCCTACGATCTCAAAACAGTCTTTCCCGAAATGATTCATAAGCGAGCAAATCGAACGAGATATGACAAGAACTACAAATTTATCGCAGATCAATACGCGAGCACGCGCACGATAATATTGTTTGTAGTTAGAACGATTGCGATATGATTTCCGAGGATATTCGAAAATCTTAAATTCAATGATATTAAATAACTCTGATTAATATTTTTCATTTTTTTTTTTTTTTTTTTTGGTAATGTCTCTGAATAATAATTATAAAAAGGAAAGAAAGTAACTGCGACGGAATTTGTAAAATAGCAATCGATACTCGATTTTTTTTATGTTACATTGTTTGCATTATAAACGTAGTATAGTTTCAATTTCAATCATATATTTCAAAAATCCTATATACCTCGTGACAAAGCTTTAGCGCTGAATTTTCTTGATAAATGGAAAAAAGAATGAAGACAACCATATAACGAAATAATCAATTAATATCGTCAATTAATTTGATGCCTATTTTCTTGTATAAAAAGTAGCATAATAGTTATTTTTTATTATGATTTTATTATGATAGATATGATTTTTATTGAAAATAAAATTTTTATAAACTGTGCTATATAAATGTGCAAAAAAGGAAGTATAAATATGCATTAGAAAAAAACTATAGTGACCATTATAAATCGAAAAGTTATGTCACGAGTAAAGAAAAAGATTTTTATATGCAATTTGTAATTGTTCAAAATAATGCAAATTTTTCTTCTCGAACTTTCTTGCAATTTCAATCAGACACGAGATATTTATTCGGATATATATGTCATAAATACATTATATAAAATAAACTATGAGCTTGTGCTATAAAATTATATTAGATTAATCGTAATTCATGTGAAAAAACAGGGTAATTATTTTATGATAGATAGTAGGAGCAATTAGAATTTCTTTACAATATATTTATTTAGATGTGTTAATTTTATTTTATTGCTATGTAATATATATTTCCTGAAATGATATATAAAGATTGATAAGATACTTAAAAATATATTATTTTATTAGAACATATTTCTATCTATTGTTTACATTTTATATATATATATATATATATATATATATATATATATATTTCATTATTCAATTTTCAATATACTTATCTATTATTGTGATAATATTCATGTTATGATAGATAGTAGGAGCAATTAGAATTTCTTTACAATATATTTATTTAGATGTGTTAATTTTATTTTATTGCTATGTAATATATATTTCCTGAAATGATATATAAAGATTGATAAGATACTTAAAAATATATTATTTTATTAGAACATATTTCTATCTATTGTTTACATTTTATATATATATATATATATATATATATATATATATATATATATTTCATTATTCAATTTTCAATATACTTATCTATTATTGTGATAATATTTTTTTGTTTAACATTTCGATAATTTTTTAACAGAAAATAATCTCATTTATAAATTATATATAAGAATAGCAGATAATGTATTACGCAAATGTATACGTAATTTATTTCAGACGATAATAGTACTAAGTCTATATTAAGTTTAGTCAGACTAATTGAATCTAAGTGCTCAACAAATTCAAATGCAAATCGCGTCTCGAATTGGGAACGAATTTCGTCATAGGTTCGTCCTTGTATTGAATTAAATTGCCCGAACGTACGTGCGTTAGAAATAATTCTATTCGCGCGGTTTTTTTATTTTTTATTTGTTTTATTTATTTCTTTATTTTTGCAAAAAACTTCCGGATTTATTCGTATATGTTATAATAGAATATTATTGGAATAAACGTATTAATAAATAATAAAAGAAAAGAGAATGACAAAAATACATTTGAACGAGTGAAATTCAATATTGATTTGTATAAAATGATTACATTCGTGATCAATGGTCGAGCAAAGTGAAAGTTATGTTAACGAAACATTTATTATTTGATCCGATCATAAATAGTCTGTTTAAATACTACTAGTTTTCATTTGCGCTTGCGTTCTGATAAAAGAGAGATCATAAGTCATAGCTACGTAAGCTGTAAGACAGTATTCTGAGAAACGAGAATAACAAATAAACATCTCTTGTAGTAGTAACCAAGAGAAAGTGATAGTAATAGTGCACGAGCGAATACTACACGAATAAACGCGATACAATAAGGTATAATTTTACAATATTGACATAAATGGTTCTTATCGTAAATAAATCAACACGATGAACGATAGCAATATTATTGGATTCAATTTAGTGTTAAGTTTAGTGTATTTATAATCGATTCGAAATTAAAAGTGTTACGATTTGAACATATGCACGATCGAAATATTCGATAATGTAAAAAACAAATCGGATTTCAGTGAAATCAAAAATATATAGTACGTTAAATTGATCGATTTTATTAATAAATATATATGATTTAAGAAAACTTTGAGATAAGCGAAGTGATTTTTAAAAAAAATGTTCAATGAAACGTACAGGAAAAAAAATAAGAAATATGGAAGGTTACGTCTTTAATCGATTATTATTATTTTTGTTTAAACGTCTGACAAAATTGTAGAATTCGTTGTTGATATTTTAGAGTAAAATGAATATAAATAGAGTAAAATGAATTTTCATTCGATCATCCGAGTTCTATTCTAGGACAAAATGAATATTCAATATCAAATTATGAAATGTTACTATATGAATATTTTATATATTTACTCGAGTCATCCTCGATCATTATTCTGTTTACATTAACAAAGGTGAGAAGTCTGCTATCGATATGATTTGAATTGATATAGAAATTGATAAAAACACGAATGAATTACGTTTAAATTAAAATAAATAAATAGAATGTTCGCTCATTCCTTTCGTTTTTAATTGTCCGATAAAAGATTTCTACAAAAGATTTATTACAAAAATTTCAGAATAGATAAATAATAATCTAAGATAAGGAGACGGATTATAAGTGCGATTTTTTGATGAAATACGAAAGATAAATTTAAAAGAAGAATGTTAAGTTAACGACTGAGACGGATGCAACTTCGATGAGTTATAAATTAACAATGCGATCAACAGATGGCGCAATGAATCGTAGCGGCGCAGTAACGATGCTTAAGTCGCATCAACGTGGCGACAGGGCTTCTATTTTTCTCTGTTTTACTTGTGCAGTTTGTTTTCTTCTAAGCGTTACCTGTACTTTTCTCGGTACTCTTGTTGTCCTCGATCAGAACGTTGAGGCTGCCAACTATCGATACGGTAAGAAATTTTGATGTTCTCAAAATAATGAAAGAACTTGACAGAACCATCAAAACCGCATTCATCACCAATCACGTGGATCAACGTATTAGCGCGCTATTTGAATATGCTTAAAGTTTATTTTGATTCAATAGAAATATCGTAAATAAATAATCATTCGTAATACATCGTTACTTCGTACGATATAATTCTATACAACAATTCGATTCGTCTAAAATTCTATTAATTTCGAATCAAACTTATTAATAATAAAAGTTAAATCACGAGTTGTATTTATCAAAAAATCTATAATTGAAATTAATCCGATGGACTTTGTTTACTTTACGTTACGTAAAGATAAGATGACTTTCGATGACTCTCAATTAATTTTCTGGTTTATTAAATTATAAGTATATATTAGATTATAAGTTTATTCATTGTAACGAAATACTTTTATCAATTAATATACTATTCGCATAATAAACGTAATTGATTAAGATCTATTTTTTTACAGATCCAAGTAAACCGGAAACGTTCGCCGTCATGAGCCACGATCACCAGGATGATTATACTTTCAGATTACCAAAAGAAGTTAAACCGATTCATTATGATATTTATTTATATCCCGATCTTAACAATGGTACATTCGTGGGTAAAGTTACGATCCTTATAAATGTCTTAGATAAAAGAGGCCAAATCGCCCTTCATCAAAAGGATCTCAATATTACTCATATCGAATTAAAAACTTATGATCGCGAAGAGAATTATGAAATTGAATTATTGCCTCCATTTACGGTCGCGAAATATGAGATGCTTGTTGTTCCTATAAAGAACGAAATCAATTCAGGACTTTATAATCTATCTATCGATTTTAATGGAGCACTTCAACCGGACAAAATTGTCGGTTTCTATTCAAGCAAATATAAAGACGAGTATAATAAAACGAGGTAAAAGTTTCAACGATAATATTGATATATCGGAATTAATAGAATATACATTGAACATTTTCTTTAGATACATTGCTACTTCGAAATTTGAACCAACCTACGCGAGAAGAGCGTTTCCTTGTTTCGACGAGCCTTCGTTCAAGGCCGAATTTTCAGTTAAATTAGTTCACCCTACAGACGAGTGCTATAATGCACTTTCCAATATGAACGTCAAGGTAACGAAGTGTAACTTTGTTATTCAATGTAAGATATTTTATCTCGGACAACTTTAATTGCAATTACGAATACGAATTGTACAGAGTACTCTTATTAATCAACCAAATTCTGGACTTACCACCGTGGTCTTTGCCAAAAGTGTACCTATGTCAACTTACTTAAGTTGCTTCATAATTAGCGATTTCGTAGCCGTGACAAAAAAAGCGAAAGGTTTTAATGGCCGAGAATTTCCAATTAGCGTATACACTACCAGAGCACAAAGGGAAAAAGGCTCATTTGCTCTTAAAATTGGTGTTGATATAATTGAATATTATATCAATTTATTCCGTATAGACTATCCTTTGCCTAAGCTTGGTGAGTAACGATTACTAATTAATCGTTTATTTATTTTTTGTTGTTAACTGTAAACAAATCTTATATATCATATATAACAGATATACATATATATATATATATATATATATATATGTATATATACAAAAATTGATTTTCAGATATGATTGCGATACCAGATTTTGTATCGGGTGCGATGGAAAATTGGGGTATAGTAACGTACAGAGAAGCGAGATTACTTTACGATAATCAAACGAGTTCTACGCGAGAGATGCACGATATCGTCACCGTAATTAGTCACGAATTTGCACATATGTGGTTTGGAAATCTAGGTAAATATTATAATAAAAATAAATTGATCCTGCTATAAGTTGTAATTATAAAAATACTTTTTTCTTTTCTTTTATTATTATTATTATTATTATTATTATTATTATTATTATTATTATTATTATTATTATTATTATTATTCAGTTACAATGAAATGGTGGAACGATCTATGGTTAAATGAAGGTTTTGCTTCGTTCATGCAATACAAAAGCGCGAATGCTATTCTTCCCGATTGGGGACTGGTTAGTATCGATAGGATTGTAAATAAACGAAATTATATTGATATAAACAAAAATAAGAAAGTATAAAGCTAAACATTACTATCAACGATTTTGATCCATATAATAAAAATCGTAAGATCGTTGACGATTATCGATGATTATTGCGCTGCCTTGGCGAATAAATATTACAATCGAATTCATTTTGTAAGAACATTATAATTATTCTATCGAAGAAGAAGATTTCATATTAACAGAAATGGATTTTCAGATGGAAGAATTTCTTCTCGACCAAATACATTTGGTCTTCATTACAGATGCCAAATTGAGCACTCATCCGATCATTCAAACTGTCAATAATCCCGATGAGATTACATCGATTTTCGATGAAATCTCTTATAGAAAGGTGAATCACATAAGATCACTAGTTGTGTGTTAGAATTGATATTGGACGAGTCGTTACATTTTCTTTTTCTAGGGATCATCCGTTATACGTATGATGGAAAATTTTATTGGTGTTGATAGATTTTACGACGGTATTAGAACATATCTGAATAGATTCACCTATCATAATGCAGAGACGGATGATCTTTTTAAAATTTTACAAGAACAAGTTGGAACAGAAATAAATGTGACGGAGATTATGGATACCTGGACCAGACAAAATGGCTTTCCGGTCGTAAATGTTCACAAGACTGAAAATAAATACGTATTAACACAAAAACGTTTCTTAGCCGATCCAGATACTCAAATTGATCCTACGGAATCAGATTACGGGTTAATAAAATTCAAAGCGAAATTATTTTAATAATAATAATCTAAATTAATAATGATTTTATGAAATATACGATATTCTTTTTTCAGATATAAATGGATAATACCTATAACATATATTACTAATAAATCATCAAAGCCAAATTTAATCTGGTTCAATAATAATGCTAGTAATTGTAGGTATATATACGAATTTTTTACGTTACCTTATACACTTCTTAATATAATTTTCAGTGGTGATAGAATTGCAAGAACCTGTCGAATGGATTAAATTTAATAAAGATCAAATTGGTTATTATCGCGTTAATTATGAAACAACGGAATGGGAAAATTTGATTCATCTGCTTAAATACTATCACACGGTAAATATCGCTTTGTATCAGTATATATACTCTTTGTGGAAATGGTTCTAGAAAATGAATAAAAGTTTATATTTACAGAGATTATCTGTATCAGATAGAGCTCATCTCTTGGAAGAAGTATTTAGTTTAGCATCTGCAGGTGAACTTGATTATGGCATCGCCATGAATATGACCACGTATCTTCCACGAGAAAATCATGTTATTCCTTGGACTGTTGCATCTAAAAATTTATTGGCTATAGATCAATTTTTGTCGTCAACAAATTTGTCTACTATTTTTAAGGTTGTATAATAACTACATATAATATGTACATAATAATATGTACATATCTATGTACATATACGGATATAAAATAGAATAAGAATGTTTTAGATTGCATATTTACGTATTTGATATTTTATTGTTTTACAGTCTTACGTAAGAAATTTGGTTGATAGCGTGTATCACGATGTAACATGGCGTGTGGATAACACAGAAGATCATGTAATGCTGTAAGATTAAAAAATACTTATCAATTAATTAAAGATTTAATGCATACTTTATTGAAATAATTTTATTAAAATTTACAGAAGACTTCGTTCGATAGTGTTAGATCTGGCTTGTTCGGTAGGTCATATAGAATGTTTAGAAGAAGCATCTGAAATCTTCAAAAAATGGATTAACGATATAAAGGACGTACGTCCGCATCCAGATATTCGAGGATTGATTTATTATTACGGTCAGTATTTTATGAAAGTATACATATATTAACGATTAGCATTGATCATTTGAAGTAAAGATTTCTATTTAATATCATTACAGGCTTACATTATGCTGGTTCTGAAGCTGAATGGAATCTTATGTTCGATAAATTCGTTCAGGAAACGGATTCGTCGGAAAAATTAAAATTGATGCGTGGATTAACGGGAATACGAGAAAGTTGGCTTTTGACCAAGTTAGTTAACTTTCTATACAAATTTTGAAATAAACAATATTTATGTTACTTGTAGAGACACAAAGAGAGAGACAGAGAGAGAGAGAGAGAGAGAGAGAGTGAGAGAACGAGAGAAAATATTCGATATATTGTTTCTTTGTTTCTTTTATAGATTTATCACTATAGCGAAGAATGAAAATTACGTTCGTGCACAAGATTTTTTCTCTTGTTTGACGGCAATTTCTAACAATCCCGTTGGTACACCACTCGTTTGGGATTGGGTCCGAGGAAACTGGGAATTTTTAGTTCAAAGATACACTTTAAACGATCGATACCTTGGACAACTTATACCTGGAATTACAAAAACTTTTGCTACGGAAACCAAATTAAACGAAATGAAAGCATTTTTCGAAAAATATCCTGAAGCCGGTGCTGGTGCATCGAATCGAGCGAAAGCATTGGAGACAGTACAAAATAATATAAAATGGTTAGCAAAAAATACAGCTAAGCTTGAAAACTGGTTGAATTCGCATTTGAATAATTAATCCGTCTGATTAAACTATATTACTAATACATTTTTATGAAGGATAATGTTATCAAATAAAGAAAACAACAATGTTTTTAAAAATATATATATATATATATATATATATATATATATATATATATAGCCGATAAATCAGCATTTATGAAGAAATATATATTAGGACTAATCGTAAGTTGAAAAGAATAAAGTTTTTTACTTTATATAGAAAGACTTAATAATTTACTATTATCAAATCCATTATTCTGTCAATGAATAATTTTTTTATTGATTCGATTATTAAACCTATCTGAAAGTATGTTTAATACAATAAAATTTAAAATATCAAAGTATCGTCATTTATATATTCGATGATTGAATACAAATTATTGAAATTCTAAATAGATTATAACATTAAAGTTTGGCGTTGTTTGTTGATACACCTCCGAACGAAAAATATGAAAAATAACGGAGTATTTGTCAATAATAAAAGTATCAACATTAAAAAATATATGTCAGCAAAAGCTTATAATCATAACAAATAAGATTACATGATTTTATTACGATATACTCGATATTATTATTTTTATCAAATCTTTTATATTTTTTTGGAAATTACTTGATAATAATTATCTATATTACAAACTATTTTCTACGAGATAATCGTAAATTTCTAACGTTGTCCACGTAAAACCGACGTAGATTTGTACATAAACAATGTCCCAAGTCAATTAACTTGTCGATATGTCACTTTGAGATATAAGTTTTCTAATCATCATCCGTGAAAAATAAATTATTATAAAGATATGAGAACTTCAAATACATCCGTGAACTATTTCGAATATATTCTGCCAACCTTATCGTAAATTACAAAGAAAAATTGTTTTTATAAAGTCAGAGTTATGTCGTAAAATAAAGATAATGTTTTTTTTTTTTAAGGTAAAAATATCAATTTTTTTTTTCTTTTTAGAAAAAACCGTAGAAATCTCCTAATGCAATTATCATCGGAAAATGCGTTATCTTGTTATAACTTTTTATAGAAATAAAATTTATTAATTCCGTTTTACTTTCTGTAAGAATTATAATATTTTTTAAATGTATGCGTGTTAATAATTTTTTTTTTGACTATAATAACAACTTAATTAATCCAAATATAACAAAATTTTACACATAATTTGTATATCATTATGGAATTTTCTAATTAATAAGATGCGATATATGAATATAATAAAATATTATATATTATATTTTATATATTATAAATGATATATATAATATATATATAATATAATATATATATATATATATATATATATATATATTAGGTGGACCAGAAAGTAATGTCGTTTCTGCACATGTCGATATTTGATTGTGATTAAAAATAAAAACTTGTTAAAAATTTATTCGTTTAAATTTAATTTAAGAAAGCGACATTACTTTCCGATCCACCTAATATATAAAAATAAAAACATTCAACTGATAAAACATATAAATATTATTCAGCTGACACATAAATATAGATTTTAACCATTTTATGATTATTATCGAATTCTTTAAACGAATTTACCAAAATTTCCGTGTTTTATTTAGACAATTTCGAATGTCGATGCGTATCACTACGACATCAACACCCCCATTAAAGACAATTCTGATAAATTCATTTGTCAAAATTAATTGCTATCCGACGTATTTCAATAGATAAGATGAGATAGTCACAAAGTGATATCGTGATCCAAAAGAGGATTAGTCTCAGTCGTATTGTTGTATGAAGAAGACGTAGTCAAGAAAAGAACAGCGAGCAGAGTTGGCCAAACTGTAAAAATATTTATTCGTTAAAAATGGTAAAAGAAAGAAAACTTTCGGAAAACGAAATTCGAGGTATTTTTTTTACTCCATCATCTTATATTATTCTTCATTTCATACAAAACTGTTTCTCAAACTACATTGATCGTATCGTTTCATTATAGAGATTATAATTTATAATTTATTAATTAAATACAATGATATATTTGTATACCAATTTTTTGTATGTACATAACTTTTTTAACATAGATAATAATAATAATATATATATATTGTTTTGTAATAACATTATAATATATTCACTGTATTCATATTAATATGTTAATATTTGCATATTTATAATCATATAAATAGACATATATCATATGTTTTTAATTGACATTATCTTATAATTATTTATTGAATTTATGTACTTGTTAAGAAAGATTATTCAATTTGATGACTGTCAAATTGTCACGTCGATTTTCTTTAATCATAATTTATCAACTTTCTGTCTCGGAAATTTGATAAAATAATGATCTTAAATTTCATTCGACGATATCTATAAAATAAACAGGAAAAGGCTTATCGACCGAAAATTTAATTATACTTTTGATGGATTGATCGATACATTTAAAAAGCCATTGAAACGTTATTACACCATGACCTAAATAGAAACAATAACTATCGCTAGTGACATTGACACTCACACGCATTGTTTTATATTAATTCACAATGGTTAATGTACAGTTGAAAAAAGGTCAATGAAGCTGATCTATCATTTTGGCAACTTTTTTATTTATTTATCATTTGTCTCTATTTAGATCATCCAGAAGAACATAGCGATGTTGAAACAACCGAAACTGTGAGTATTTACAAGTATTAATATAATCAAAAAATTATGATACTGTTAAAAAAAAAGAATTTCGTTTTTTTCGATATTCGTTAAAATTGTGAAATATTCTTAATTATTATATATGTCCGTAATTGTGTCGTATAAATCGACACAATTATTCCCTTTATTATATAAGATACGTAAGAATTCTTTATATATTCAAATGAGAAAGTGCAATCGGTTGATATAAAAAAATTCACTTCGCGTACTTGCGAAATCGAAAAGAGTTTGCTTAATGAATACTTTCATCAATAAATACTTTCGATAAAATTATTCCGATCCTTATTTTATTTATTTTTATTTTCATTGAGGGACGATCACTCGTAAAATTGGAGGCAGTAAAATTTTGGCTAGTTTTGTGCGATAAAGCTAAGTAACAATCGAACGATCGATCAAGCAAGCAAAGAAAAGTATTCAGGTCAATAATCATTTGTAAAGATCAAGCGTACGCGTACGACACGATTCACGTCTTATAAGGCAGGTATACACGCACACATAAGTAAGACACAGAAATATTCGGAGATTTGTTAAAATTGAATAGTTTTTTCTAGGCCATTCAAATAATTCAGAAATTTTGAGTAAACGCTAAGAAAGTACTGTGTTATAGAAAATATGTTTAGAGTTAGAAAATCTTGCTTTTTGTTTTGAAAATGATCAAAAATACAAAATAAACTTTTTCCAAGATATTTTTATAAAAAATAAATAACTAAATAAATAAATAACTAAATAAATAAATAAATAAATAAATAAATAAATAAATGAAAAATAATAAAAAGGAACGAATATTTGCATTTCGTAAATCAATTTGTCTTATATGTATAAGATAGCCTAATACTTATATATTCTGTAAATATTATCAAAATCGTAAGAAACGTTATCCAATAAGATCCATAGATATTTAAACACGATACAGTATGATTTTTACAGTATAAGGTTAATATAATATCGTTTTTACAGATCTTTGCGAATAAATGCTATCAAACAAATATAAATTATTGTAAAATTACTTATCAATTTTGATTACATAAGATTAATAGATCTATAAAATGTGACATGGATATTTTTATCACAAGATGCGTAATTGAGTTCATTTTATGAAGATAAAATCGGTTCAGAAATTTGTATTGTTAAATGATTTGTTATAACTTAGTATGATAACGATATCGTTTATTATTTTCTCGAAAATTTTTTAGATCTGCAGCAAGGAAATAAAATGATTAGAATATAAATCAAGATATATATATATATATATATATATATATATATATATATATTTGTACTCTTTGAATCGTTACCTCTTCTTAAATAAAGATCATTCGTTCGCTCGCATTCTCTAATCTTACATCAGTTCAAACACACATTCTTGCCACGCGTTCATCTATCGTTCTTCTTATATCCATTCTCAGAATTTATTCTTCTATCATACCAGACATGTATTGATTATTCTTTATTTGCACCATACATATCATTCGTTGGTTCATTCATCTCTTTTACATACCCTACAATAATAACAAAAATAATATATGAAGAACGAAATAATATATTTATTTTGCATAAAATCTTTTAATAACAAATCATAAAAAGGCATATTTGGTAATCTTTTTTTTGCTTATTGTTCCTGTCTCTGTTAATTTATACGCTGTATACTTGCTTAAAAAAATTTAGAGGACTTTACCTTAGTTAAAAAAAAAAAAAAAAAAAAACAAAAGAAAAGAAAAAAATGTGTATTCTATTTCCAAGCATATCCAAACATTTCTATCATTTGTGACCGTTCTTAAATAATTGAAAAGATACATCGAAAATTATTACTGTTCTTTACGTACAATGCCACAAGAAAATACATTTGTACACTTCTGACAATATACATTTCAATTTAAAAATAAATAAAATTAGTCGTACGAAGATAATAAATAACGTTCAAGTTTTATACACAATATGCTCTCTAATCGAAAATTATCTTTCGATTACATAATTTTATCTTTCTCTTTTCTTTTGTCTTGTCATGTTTTCTCTGTTATTTCTTATATAACGAATCAATCTGACAAGATATATTGAAACAAGATATATTGAAACAAGATATATGAAATATTTTATTACGATCGATCGGTGAAGGTTTGAAGTTTTTTCTTTCTTTTCGTTCTGTTTAGTTTTCTTCTTTTTCTGTTTTTTTTTTTTTTTATTCTCTACATAAAACGAAGAAAAAAAGAAAAAAAGAAAAGAGAAAACGATAAAGGAAACTTCCTGGTTCGTAGAACGGTAAGCGATTTCAAAACGATCAATCAGTCGTTCCCCGAACGAGCTCTAAAAAAAAAAGAACGCGGCGCGAGAGAAGGTTGAACATTCTCTCCGATTTTCTTCACTCTTTTGTCGCACACAACAGAAATAAGACGGGTGACAGAAATAAGATTGAGACGCGCGTGCGCTAGATCGCAAACGATTTATCAATATAAGAGATAGAAAAAAAGAAGTGGCATGTTTAGTACATAAGATATGTACGAAACTGATAAAATCCAAAGTAAACGAGCCGAATTTAAGTGAGTTTATATAAATCTTTCTTGTGTATCATTGTAAATGTGTGCGTGTAAACGTGTATATTTGTTATGTCAACGTGCATTCATCGATTCCATTCCAATTCGATCATCAAGATAAATAGATCGACAAAATGAGCGCGGGAAAGGTACGATCGTCAACATTTATCAAATCATCATAATCACCTTTTCTTTTTAATCTTTTATATGTAACTATATGACCGATCAACCGACCTATTTTTTTAAACCTTATACGAAAATATATTTGTTCAATTAAACAAAGATCGATAACATATTTCGTTTCGGCTACGATCATTTTTATCGAATGACTTTCACTATTTCTTCCTCCGAGCATCTCTTTCTTTCCAAAAATTACATTGTTTCATGCTTCTTTATTAAATTCATCGTGATAGACCAATCGATTTGTTGTAACAACAAATAGATAACACGCAACGAAGTTATAAATACATATGTATGTAAAAAAGAACGAGAAGACGTGTCCTCGAAACACTTAAGAATAAGTGTTTCATCATACATTTACTTATTATTTTTTCTTCTCTTTTTTCTTTATTTCTTTACGTTACTTTTTTCTCATTTTTTTTTTTAGATATTTATAAATTAAAAACTATCGAGATTAAATAAATTATTTACGAACGACAATTCTTTTCAAAATTTTTACATATTTCGTTCATTTCTTTTGGTGTTAACGTATAACTTAGTATCTTATTATTTACAATCGTAATAACACTTGCTTTTCGATATATCGTAATTACGATTAAAGATAAAATATTTTTTTGGATGTAAATATCGTCATGCTAGGTGATAGAAAAAATCGTCTATAGAAAACACATTTTTGTGTGAATTTAACGACCGTGAGATTACGTCGTTAATCCGGTTTTATGTATACTTTTATGTATACTCTTATGATTACCCACGATCTTACGAAAGCAACGAAACTAATTACCGACGAAAAGTTGCATAATCAATAAACTACAATCGTAAACATTTAAACACACCAATGATTATTAACTCTATTTTGGTGACCTTTCATTTGCGACAATAAAAATAACAATCAAGGTTAAAAAAAGAAATCGATGCGAGATTAAACATCAAGAAGGAAACTTTTCTTTTTTTCAATAATATTTAAGTTCTTTATATTATTACAGAAACTCAAGTATCCCAAATCGGTATTTTTCATCATCAGTAATGAATTCTGCGAGAGATTCTCTTATTATGGAATGCGCAGTAAGTTCTTTATCTTTTTTTCTCTTTCTCTTTCTCTCTTTCTCTCTCTCTCTCTCTCTCTCTCTCTCTCTCTTTCTACCTCTCCCTCTTTTTGTGATAGATATGTACTTAATTTACTTTAATTGCAGCGGTTCTGACATTGTATCTTCTAAATGTTTTGAACTATCCTGACAGCACTGCGATCGTGATCTATCATGTCTTCACGATGTTCATTTATTTCTTTCCATTATTCGGAGCTATCTTAGCAGATTCCATACTTGGGAAATACCATACGATATTCTATGTTAGTATAATTTATGCTGTGGGACAACTCTTGTTGGCTTTGAGTGCTGCACCGCCACTGGGATTGCCACCAAGGTTAATACTTACAATGCGCATTAAATTATTTATAATGACTCGGAAAACTGATAGCTCTTTCAAGTAGTCTAAATAAAATGACTTCGCTCGTTTCAAAAAGAAAATTGACCGCTACGAAAGAACGTAATAATCATTTTTATGAGTCATTGTATATTTTTTATCTTAATCAAGATAAACTAATCAGTCTATTCCTTTTGTGATAAAGTATACTTTCTAATTCTAATCCGATCAAATTGCAGGGAGTTTGCATTATTGGGTTTGTTTCTTATAGCTGTTGGTTCGGGTGGTATAAAACCTTGCGTGTCAGCATTTGGTGGAGATCAATTTGTATTGCCGCAACAGGAACAACAACTTTCGACTTTCTTTTCCGTTTTTTATTTCTCAATTAATTCGGGCTCCCTAATATCCAGCTTTCTTACACCGATATTAAGAAGCGATGTGACTTGTTTTGGTGATAAAACATGCTACTCCTTGTCTTTTCTAGTACCTGCCGTATTGATGTCAATATCGATAGGTAATATAATATTTAAATATATAAATACTATAGAAATCCAACTATTCTGAATGTAAATTTTTGTTTTACAGTGATATTTATGCTTGGTAAACCTTTGTACAAAATAGTCGATCTCCAAGGCAATGTCGTTGTTGATGTCACCAAATGCGTTTGCGTAAGTTAAATAAATAATTCATTTCTTTGAAAATTCACTAACACATTAAAATGTTAAAAAAATGATAATAGTAATAACAACAACAATAATAATAATAATAATAATAATAATAATAATAATAATAATAATAATAATAATAATAATAATAATAATAATAATAATAATAATAATAATAATAATAACAATAATAATTAATAGTAATAATAATAATGTATTAATAACAACAAGTTTTTACCATACGAACGAGAGTGCATACCTTCACGTTCATGTTTGCGATATTATGGACTGATAAGCCAAATTAAATAAGAATAAAAATTTTAGTACGCGATCAAGAAGAAGATACAATCGAAGAAAAAGGTGGATCACTGGCTCGATCACTCAGTAGATTTATATGGTCGAAAGTTAGTTGAGGACATTAAAGATTCCTTGCAAGTATTAAAGATGTTCCTCCCTTTGCCGATCTTTTGGGCTCTTTTCGATCAACAAGGATCAAGATGGACGATTCAAGCGACAAGAATGGACAGTAAAGTTGGTAATTTCTTGATACAACCCGATCAGATGCAAGTATTTAATCCATTGTTGGTCGTGATCTTTATTCCTATTTTCGAAACTTGCATTTATCCAATATTTTCTAAAATGCGTCTACTTAATACGCCTTTGAAGAAGCTTACAGTCGGTGGTTTATTGGCCGCACTATCCTTCGTTATATCTGCTATTATTGAATTACAACTTGAGGTAAGTACAAATTTCTTTTGTTTTCTATAACTATTTGTATTAACATTAACATTTTATCGATATTTATAGTTTTTATTTATATTTATTTTAGAAAACATACCCAATACTTCCTACAATTGGAGTGGGCCAAGTAAGAATTTTCAATACCATGAATTGTGAGATACCGATACAGATTAATGGTGAAAAAGGGATTATCAAAGCTCTGGATTTTTGGGAAAATATAAATATCAAAACTAATAATGGCTCGGCTAAATTGAAGTATTCTTTAAATATGACAAAGTGCCAATCGAGTAAATTTCTCAATAATGAAGTCAAAGGTAAATAGATCATAGCATTTGTGGAATTAGAAATATATTTTAGAATAGAAAATAGTAATAATGAATTTTTATTCTCATAGACGAGATGATAATAAACGAGGCAATTGCTACATCATGGGCTATTACTCCTGATGGAATGTATCAATACATTGACGATGTGGCAAAATCAAAGGATGGTTTTCCTTTGGTTCGTGGTCTTATTTATTTGTCATCACAATCAAAGAAAGATTATAATTCTAGTTTAATATTTTATCAAGAATCGATACCTACCGATGAGATTACATTAAATGGAACAAATATCACTAAAACTTCATTACATGAACTCAAACCACGTACATATAACATTTATTTAAATAAAAATCTATTATTACAAAATGTGGAATTAAAATTAGGTGGAGTATACACCATTGTTGGTTATGACATGGGAAACAATGAAATGAAATTATCAATTAATACTGTAACGCCTCCTAATTCGATGCATTTGTTTTGGCTATTACCACAATACATTGTCATTACGATGGCGGAAGTCATGTTTTCAGTAACTGGATTGGAATTTGCATTCACACAATCACCTCCCAGCATGAAATCCTTAATGCAATCTTCCTGGTTACTTACAGTAGCTTTTGGCAATCTTATTGTTGTTATTATCGCAGAGGTATCATTCTTCGAAAGACAGGTGAGCTATCTAAATGTTTGCTAACAACTTTTACAGTTTTTAATTTATGTAAATGGATGATTATAATTGATTTTGTTAATCGAAAATGTATGTTGCAGGTTTATGAGTTCCTCCTATTCGCAGGTCTAATGTTTATATTTATGATATTATTTGGTATAATGACAATGTTCTATAAATATACGGAAATATCCGAAACAAATGAGGAGGAAATCGTATTGGAAGAGAAAAAAGGATCTATTAATACATCGTATAAGGACGACGAAAAATGAAAGTACAAATAAATCTTAAAGATATTTGAATTTCTTCCTGTTTTCAACTTTCTGTTGAGTGATAAAACATATCAACCTAAAGAATAATGAAATTTTCATAACAAAGATCGTTATGTTGAATGTGCAATGAAAGAAATACATTGACATAGGCGATGATGTTATTAACGATTATATGGAAAGGATTTAAGTGTACGTAAAAAAAGTATAAAAATTAAAATTTTGAATTATAGGAAATATTGCAAAGGAATTTACGTGTAATATATTTATTTTTGCTAGATCAAAAAAATTGTTAGGATTTACCACAACAGAATAAAATACGCATTACAAATTTTTATACATACCAAATGAGTATTACCAAGTTAATACTCCATGTCTGTAATTAGTTATTGAAAATAAATTAGAAATATTTATAATTGTATTTGTTTTATACAGAATCGATTATTTTTCACGAAAAATGTCTATTTTCCTTTCTTAAAATTTGATCCATCCATGTTACTCTTTATGGTAGTCATTTTTGAAATAATTTCAAATTTAGTAAATATAAATCTTAGTGTTTAATAATTTACGCATCTATTGTTGCGTTATGTTAATTTTGCAACATGACAATGTAAATGCAATCATGGTCAATTAAAATATAATTTTAATTTATAAAGAATAACATAATATTCTATTATAGAATTATATTGTGATTAATATCGTCGTTCTGTCGTAAGATATTTAACAATTGAATATTTTCTTAATTTTATTGTTCTTTACACAAATACAAGTAAATTAACATGTTAATGAACTATATTCTGTAATTATTTTTGACAAAGTTATTCAGAAGCCAACCTTTCTATCATATAGGCAACTTTCCTGATGAATGTATTTATTTCTATGTATAAGATTATGACAATTTAATATTATTTTAACAGAGCAAAAGATTATAGATTACTTTTCTGTGTGTGTATATATATATATGAAATGTGTATATATGTGTATATATGTGTATATATATATATATATATATATATATATATATACATATATATATATATGAAAAATCTAACATCTAACAAGATTCACATCTTTGACAAATTATTTTACTACCAGCAGCTTTAAAATACTAATTCCTAAAATAAATGGTATATTAAATATGTAAGATGCATACTTGCCTAATAAACAATTCTATTTAGCGTTTCTCATTTGGAACAAGCGAATGGTTATCTCTATATGTAATATTATAATAAAGATTTTTGAGGATGCATAAATCTTCTGTAGGTTTATTTAATGCCGAGGAGTCTTCCTCATATATGATAATCGATCATCTTTCTAAAACAATTTTTAAGAGCATACGTATAAACATTAATATTATACAAATCAGCAATACTGATATAAGAATACATAATAAGCAATTACCGAAGTTGAACGAATTCTAACAATTGCTTCACGAGCTGTTCCATATGCAATAGAAGCAAAATGAAAAGCACCAATTACCAATGTTTCTGGTAAAATGTGAATAGGTTCTGCAGTTCCTGGCATCGAGTCGGTAGTAGTTTCCTCAATTATATGTCCAACATTTTTACTCTCTTCTATTGTCGGATTTTTCTCAAGATATTTATTATTTAAGTCTTTTTTTATTTGCTCATGTATATTATTTTTTTTTGAAGCTATAGGTGTATTGGAATCAGAAAAACTATGGTTTGAATAATCATGACTGTTACTAATATTTGTCTCACTTATACCATAAACACCATTGTCTGTAATCGAAGTAGTATGAGAGTGAAAACTCTGTGTTAAATCATTTATATCTGTTTGGGCTTGACAACTGTGCTGTGCTATTGGTAAATCTGAATAAACTGGATTTATAGGTTCTGTTGTCAAATAGCTAGTATGAGAACTGTTTACATCAATTTTCATGGCATTTGTATTGTTATGTTCGGGTTCTACATGCAGTAAATTTGTGTTCTCATCTGTTGACTTTGATGTATTTTTTATAAAGAGAGAACAAATATTATTTGTTAAATCTGTTGAATTATTGTACATACACGTTTTGGAAGTATTGGATAAACGTGTATCATTTATTTTTTTATTAATATTATCCTCATTATTAGAATTTTCTTTTTCATCTGGTTTGTCAGTACTAACATTATTTAAATCCTTTTTAATTATAGGAGTAAGTGTATTATTCGAATTATCTGTAAAATGATTTTCATTAATGCAAATGACTAAAGGTGTAGGTACTTCAGGAAGTAGATCAAAACTTGAAAGATCAGTAACAATTTCATCATCATTATTTTCTTTATGGGCAATGTTTTTCATGTTCTGATTTTTTGATAGACTTCTTTGTATGTGACAATTTGTATTGGTTTTATTTTTCATTGGCATTGGAATCAATTCAAATTCATTATAATCATCACAGACCTCTATATTATTACTTAGATCAGAATTTATATTAATATTCTCTATGTCAGATCCACAACAGCAAGTCGTATTTTTGAAATAGTTTTCATCCAACATTTGATGTTCAGTAATAGAACAATTCATCCGAAATTTATTTTCTTTTGTCCCATTGCATATGTTAGGTTCATTATACAAATTTTCTTTTGAAGATTCTAATGTAAGAATATTTGGAGACAAAGAATTACGTTTATTTACAATCTGCTTTTCGCTGATATCATTTTGCTTATGAGCATTATTTATATCGCTCATTAATTTTGACGAATTACAGCTTTCATTCTGAACATTTTCCTCCTCTTTGTCTTCGTTAGGTTCACTACTATATTCAAGCTTTTCTTCAAATTTCTTCACTTGTTTCTTTCTGCTTTTGACAATGTTTACAAGTGGTTTATCTATATGTTCAGAATAAATCTTGTCGACTAGCATGTCCCTTTTCTTCCTTTTATATTGTCTTCTTTGATCTGTAAGTAAATTATTTCTTTGATGATTATACTTTGATCTGAGACGATGGGATTGATTTTCACATCTACTTGTATCCTTGGATTCCGTGCAAATCGGTGACCTCATAGAACACTTATTTAAATTTTCCATTACATTAAGCATAATTTGATCAGAAACTTCTGTTATTATATCCTTCTTCAACTACGAATAAAAATAAGCATATGTTGCATTAATTTATAAAAAATAATATAAACTAAAAGTAAAAATGTCAATCTTTATATTTACCTGTTCCATATACTGTACAAACCATGTCGGTGGAGCGTTATTGAGAGAGTCCTGGGTAGTTACGTTTGAAGGTGTTGTACTTTCTAATTTCATATTATCAAAACTTTTTGTAAGAATCTTTGAATATGTTGTAGTTAAATTTGGAAACATAGAAGCAGCTCCATTCTTATCATTTAATGTATTATTATTTTCTCCGGTTAAGTCAAATATTCTATTTAAATGTTCTTTTCTATTCTCTTGTTTTACTTCGCTCATACTTTTTTTTGCATTAAAAGTTTCAAATGAAATAGAATCGTTTGCAAATGAACTTTTTTGATCATCACCAGATGAATGTGCATTAACTTTATATTTGTTTTTATTTATATCATCATCCTGATTATTTATAAAATCAACTAACAACAATACTCCTTTGCTGCGTTTTGAGCAAAATTTAGCAAACTAAAATCACATTTACTTTTTATTATTAACTTATTCATTATTATATATTAAGTCTTTTGCATTAGACTAACCATAAAATTTGCATTACTTTTATAATATAGAAAAAGTTATTCAAAATTACCTGCCATAATTCTAAAAAGTCAGTTTCATTTTCAACCAAACGTAATACGTCATCATTATCGAAATATGAAATACCTTTAGATATATTTATACCAAAAAAACGCATCTATGAAAGAAACATAAATCACAAATTTGTATGTTAATTTTAACCTTATAAATTTGTACCCATAAATAATGAAATATAACTTACTAAATATATCTTAAATAATTCGAAATTAAATGTCACTTTGAAAACTGAATCATGATTATTCTCATAATTATCATTTTTATCATTACTGGGATTATATGTTACGTCACGTATGGACAATTTAGAATCTGATAATTTGTCATTATCTTTTGTTTTCTTGGACGTATCAAAGAATAATTCTGTTTGTTTTACCGTTGAAATAGATTTATTCTTTTGTGTATTGTCATTTTCATTTAAGTTGCATCCATTTTCAATCTCTTTGTGTATTAAACTTGCATATGAGTCGCGCACTACGCAAAAGATGTCTTCATTCTTGCTATCGAATTTTAATGTAGATCTGTTACTCCTTAGTATAAAGAACGTATAATCGTCTTTTTTCAGTTGAGCAGAGCTCAAACTTATTATAGGAATCTTTTTCATCGTACTTCTCGATTTCATAAATCCAATAAATAATAGAATTATTCCGATGATTATAAGTACGAAAGAAAACAGTAACAATTAACAGTTTACATGAAATCTCAAAATAATCAGTCAATAATCATTTCAACAGTATTATCAAGTTAAACGTCACAGTTAACGGAGGAAACAATTATACGATGCTATTACTAGTTACGCCGTCTTTCCGGCTTTCTCTGAACTGCATCGGAAGCGACCTTGATTTGACCCTTATTCCGATACAAGTAATATGTACATTCTCAAAAAATTAAACATTCCAAAATCGTATTTTATCTAATAATAATTTATAATAAAACAATTCAATATTCCTGTAAATATTTTTCCAATCGAATATATAACATTTGGTTTAGATCGTTTTATCAATTATATTATTTCTGTATTTGAACTGTTACCATACTGTAACTACACTAGTCAAAATAACCATCGTAAATTTTATTATATCACGAAGAAGAAAAAAAGCGGCTGATAATCTATACGGAGTTATTTTATATAATTTATTTTTATTTTATTAATTATTCTTCAATGAGAAAAATATTAATTCTAATAAAAGATCCAATTTCAATAATAATCTCATATTAACAAATGTGTTAACGTAGTTTCCATTCGCATCATCTGTTGGTTAAAATTTCTATAAAAAAAAAAAAAAGAAGAAAAAAAAAATCTATAAAACATAGAAAATCTAATATAAATGAGAAACATTGAATCGTAAATATAATATACCTGCTGCAAATTCAACGAATTATCTACGAAAATTAGAGATATCACAGTCGGTAAAAAGGTAAAGAATCGATACAGTAGTTAATTCAATCACAGTGCTCTCTACAATAGTGTCAAATATTTAGAACTAGTAAATATGGCGGAACTACGCGCGGCGAGTATACTTTTCAAAACTCTCTTTCAATATTTTGTGTTCTTTTGTTTTCTTTTTTTCTTTTCGATTTCTTTCTCTCTCTCTATCTTAAACGACATTAAAGATACTGCATATCATATTCGAATCAATTCTAAAATAGATATATATGAAAATATTTTCAATAATTCAAAAGTTTTCACGAAGATTTAGGATCTTTCGAAAGAAAATATAATCGTGACGATTATATCGAATGATATCGAAAATTCTATCGGGATATTTTTTCAACGAAATAAATATTTACAAAAGAAGGAAGATTTAAGTTTTTTTACCTGTTGAATATTCGATGAATCGATTTCGACTGACTGAAATCAATGTAAATAGAATGTGTCGAGAAGTATAATTGCGATACGTCACGATGTTTTGAATAACGACGGAGTGTCTTTAGAAGTGAGGTAATGGGTGGGAGTTGATTCGTTCGTTGGAACGAGAGAGAGAGAGAGAGAGAGAGAGAGAGAGAGAGAGAGAGAGAGAGATAGAGAAGAAGCAAAGAGGAACCGAAAGAAGGGAGTTCCAGTCAGTCTGTCCGTGCGAGTCTGTCCGTCGAGCAGACTTCTCTCACTCTTTCGTCCTTCTCTTAGAGCAGACCGTCGAGTGGCTCGTGGTGGAAGCCACATGTCGTCGGTGGTGCAGCTGCTACTGGCACCCTGACGATCAGTTTACTATCGTCATTGGTATAGATCGCGATTGATCGTGGTTTTCATTATCTACTATACCTTCTTTTTTCTTTAAATTTTATTAATCTTCTCTTATCGCACTCGATACATCTATATACGTATATACGTATGAGAGTAATCAAAATAATAAAGCTAGAGATAGAAAAAGAAATAGAGAGAGAGAGAGAGAGAGAGAGAGAGAAGAAAAAAGATAAAGTGATTGTTAAAAGTGTATTAGAAAAGGATTAGATTTTGAAGAGAATTCTTTTTTCTTCATCTTCTTTTTTTTCTTCTTTTTTTTTTTTGTTCTTTTCCTTTTCTTCTTTTTTTTTTTTCTTTTTTTTTTTCTTTTTGGATTGAAAGAAGAACTCGACGAAGAAACTCGAAGAACATGTCGTCGAGAATAATTTTCGGTTTGTTCCTCGGCTTGTTCATCGTTGTTGGTTCACCACCTACCACCATTGAAGCTTTCAACGTCGAAACAAAACATTACGCGATATATCGCAACGAGGCCGAATCTATGTTCGGCTTTGCCGTTTCAGCCTATCGCGACAAATACGGACGAGGATGGTGAGTGAAACATATATATATATATCTATATATTCCATTGGTTATTACGTTCGTTTGAATTTCCCGCGGGTTTTTATGCGCAAGTGAGCGAGCGCGGTTGCCCTCTCCTCTCCCCAACTTTATAACTTTTCCGATCAATGGAAAGATTTGAGCGATCATCTTAATTATCGTGATCGAAGATAGTAAACAGAAAATTCGATTTTAAATCGATTAACACGATGAGATCGAATTTACGATGAATCAAATGAATTATTATTATTGAAAATTTCTTTCGAAAAATGTCCATTGAAATATTAAATGAATAATGTTATTAAAATCTTCGAATTGTATGAGAAATTGAAAAAAAAAAAAATAAAATATCTAGTGCATTTAAACGTTCTACCTTCAAAATTGTACAATGAATTTAAAAGTAAAAAGAAAAAAAAAAGAAAAATAAATAAAAACAACATGATTTAATTAGAAAACGTAAATATATAAATACGTATATCCGCACTGATATAAATCCACACGTTTATTCCTGTACGTATGTAATTAATATTTCTTTTCTTTGATCCATCCGCTGAATCAACATCGTGATTCTGAAAAGAAAAAAAAAAGAAGTTCTATTCGTCGTGACTCGAATGCGTCGCCACGATTGACTCACTGTTATATTCTCAAACGTGGAAATATTCTTTTTTTTTTTCTGCGAACGAAAGATTAAATATCAACGATGCTTGCTTATGGGGTTTTAACTTTTTATTTTCTTTTTTCTTGTTTCCCCCCCCCCTTTTTTCTTTCTTTCTCTTTTCTCTTTCTTATTTCTCGTTCTTGTTCTGTTCTGTTGTGCTGTTGCACTCGCGCGCACAAGAGCCTCCCTGTTCCTCAAACAACCAAATCATATGATCTTTTTCGTTTTCTCTTTTTTTTTTCCTTCTTTTTTTCTGCTCGCTTTCAAAGCATCAAAACTAAAGGTCAATAAACGATTTGTTACATATTCGTCTGAGCGCGCTTTCATAATCCTTTTAAAAAATATTTTTCATCTTCGGATAAATTTTCTCTCTTTCTCTCTCTCTTTCTCTTTCTCTTTCTCTCTACGTCTCTCTCTATCTTGATTGAACGTTTTATCAACGATAAAAAAAAGTCCTCGTCTTAAATTTTGTCTTCGTCTTACATTTTCTAGCTTCTCTTTCTCTCTCTCTCTCTCTCTCTCTCTCCCGAGATCTCCGTTTCGTCTCGTTGGTCCATACGATCGGACTTAAAACGAATCCGCGATCCACTGCAAGTGGACGATGTTTTTTCGATTCATAAAGTAAGCTTCCCGTTTTTATTTTATCCTTTATTTACTTATTTATTTATTTATTTATTTTTCTTTATTCTTTTCTCGCATTTGGACCACCATTTAAACATATCGAGTTCTCTGGTTGATTCTCTCTCTCTCTCTCTCTCTCTCTCTCTCTCTCTCTCTCTCTCTCTCTCTCTGTCTTCCTTTCTATATATCTTTTTCTCATTTAGAAGCTTCGGTCCACCAAGACTCGAATCTCGCGTGACTCACGCCCGCGACGAGCCACGAATAAACGTTTCTACTAGGGCTTCTACTCCCGCGGCGACGGCGAATATAAATAATACTGGCGGATCGGTGAAACGCGACTAACGCCAAACGATTACGTCGATGGCGCCTTGTAAATGTTATCCATAAAGCCGCGATCGATCCTTCTCTCTCACCTTTATACATATTTATTTCTATTGTTTATTTCTACTTAATAAAAGTCATAATCAGGAATTCATTAATTCAATATTTATTAACCGATCATTTCGTATATATCTATGATATCTGAGTAAGTGAATACATTACTTATTAAACTAATTACGTCAAATAGTTGAGGGAAAAAAAAATTTACAATAACGAACAATGTAAAATCACACGAGAGAGAATTCTCTTTTCGTGACGGGCAGGAAGTTCGGATTACGTATAATGATTACATATAAATGAGATGAAGAGAGAGAGAGAGAGAGAGACCTCGTGATCACTTATATTTAGGCCAATTCTTATAGTAGATCCTTTACGAACGTTTGTCTTCTTCTTTAATCTCGCATAAGGAGAGAAATATAGAAGACTCTGATGACCTACCTGAAATAGAATTTAATTGCATGATATTTATAATCGAAGCTCCTCGACCTCCTCGGGAGATATCGTCGAACGTTTTATGGCAACGGAAATGCGAAATTCAATCCTCCTCGGAACGGTTCAAGTTCTTTCCAAATTTTTTTTTTCTTTTTTCTTCTTTTTCTTTTTCTTTTTTTTATTCATAAAGTACATAAACACATACATACATATATATGTACGTACGTATGTATACATATATATACGTGTTCATGAATTCTATCTATCTATCCTCTCTACTTTAGCTGAATCGTGTAATAGTATCCGCGATTTTCTTTTAACGAGATCACCGACCACCGGTCACAAGAACGTAGCACGTTCGACGATGAGAGGGCCACTCTGATACAGGATGTTAGGTCATCGCTGGGACGATGAACACGTGGGTGGTTGATCGTTCTCGCGTGTGTCGCTCAACTCTTAATACCTTCTTATAATCTTCTTGTTCGATCTACTCTATTCCTACCTTCTCATTCGAATGTGTACGTTGAACGAAGAGAGAGAGAGAGAGAGAGAGAGAGATACAAACTATTCTTCTTTGGATAATCTGACCCTGCCTGGCTCCTCAGTCACAAAACTTCGATTCTGGATTTCGAGGAAGTTAAGAGGAATTAAAAGTCCGACCCCCCGTTGTTGGTCTCTCATGCATACTTGCTTACGTTTGCGGATGCGATCTAATCTTCTAGTACTAGCTCAGAGAGTCGGCCACTCCAACTTACACGCGCCGATCTTTCTTTTATTTTCAAAAGATATCTATACCATTCGCATATATTCGTTCGTATATATGTATGTATCTATGTACGTATATAGGTATAGAAATATCTAAGATACGTTTCTGAAGTTGGAGTATTATCGAAAAGAAAGCCAACGAAAAAAGATTTTGAGATTATTCGGATATATATATATATATATATATATATATATATATATATATATATATACTTTATGGATTTCTATGGTTTCATTGATGTTTCCATTTGGTTACGTTGAAAATTTATTTTGATCTCATTGAAAAT